TCAGTAGAAATATGTGAGTTTATAGGTGCTGGACTTAAGGGACCTTATTTGACATATTCTTCAAAGAGCTAGTGCTCAGAAAAGGTGGATTCAGACTGAAAGCAGTTCTGGAGGGAAAGCCAGTGGGGTGGCCAGGGAGACAGGATTTTGTCTGAAACAGCCATGTGCAGTTATCCCAAAGGAACAAAGGATGAGGGGTGGGAGGTGGCTCCCCAGGCACATCTGGAGAGCAGGGGAAGGAGGAGAGCTTGCTAAAGGGCACAAACAAACATAGACTGGGCTTTTTTTGGGGAAGTTTTCTAAAGAGATGTGTTCAGGATAATCTTTTGGTAGGCTGTGGATCCCACATAGTGCTGAGCTCAGTGCTTGACCTCTCTATAAGAGATTCTGTTGAAGAGAATTAATAACAACTAATGGTATTTCCTGTGGCAGTGAGGGGCTGGACACACAGATCCAGATCAATTATCTGATGCTGGTGATGACCATCCATGTCTTATGTGCCTCCTCACCCTCTGTATCTTCCCACCACAAGGAAAATGAGATGAGCTTGCAGGCAATTTGTGCCAATAAGTGGTAGTTAATTCCCCTTCCCATGGCTCAGTAGGAATAGGAGAGTCTGCCCATATTTGGTTGTAGTTTGATTTCCACTCAGTTTCTACTATTTGCCCCTAGTTTGAACAGGAAAGGTCTGGCCTCATTGTCAGAGAACAGCCAAAGTCAAGGCATGGTTTTTAAGCTGAAGTAGGTGCTGACATCACTTGGTTGCTGCCTGTCTAGTACCAATCTGAGTGAGCAGCATGAAACCAAATATTATTCATTTTCCCTCAGTCAGACACACCCCAACTTTTGCCCTAGACATGAGCACAGGTGTAGGTTTGAAGCATCACTCCTGGTGGCATGGTTTCCTCACGGTGTCCTGCAAGCACAGCCTGTCTCCTCATCTCTCATCAGTCTGTGGCAGTGCTGAGATGACTCAGGAAGAGAAGGGTTTTGGGAAGGAAGGGCAAGAGGCACAAATCAGGATGGATATGTCAGACTCTTAACACTCTGGGTAGCACCTGAACTTTGTGTTTGGTCGTTAGTGACCTCAAGTTGCTGGGTTTTGATGGGCAAGTGGGCAAACAGGCCTACAGGGAAGCTGGAGAGAGACTTTATTTATTTATAAGGGCATTTAGCAATAGGATAAGAGGTGATGGTTTCAAGTTGAAAGAGGGGGTAGATGTAGGTTACACATTGGGCAGAAATTAATTACTGTGAGGGTAGTGAGACACAGGAACAGGTTGTCCAGAGTAGATGTGGAGGCCCCATCACTGGAAGTGTTCAAGGCCAGGCTGGGTGGGGCTTTGAGCAACTGAGTCTAGAGGAAAGTGTCCCTGCCCATGCAGGGGGGGTTGGAACTAGATAATCTTTAAGGTCCTTTCCAACCCAAACCAGTCTGTGAGGCTATAAAACCTGTGGTGAAGAGCCTGTATGTCCCTGTGATATTGGCTGAGGGGGGTTGGCTGGAAGCAGGTGTTCTGTTTGAGGATCTCTGAACCTCTGGTACTGTCCTACATGTTGGGTGAGTCACTTTATGAGCCTCAGATATTTCCCCCATACAAATGGCATGGGGCTAGTTCTGCCAGCCCTTATCTGTGCAGTGCTTTGAGATGTAATGGTGAAAGACACTGTGTAAGAAGTAGGAATTACACCATTTATTTTGTCAAGTAAAAGGAAAAGAAAAACAAGCCACCAAAGAAAGAGCCAAGGAAATATAGTGATAGATCATGCTCCAGCAGATGTAAATCAGCACAGCTCCACTGCCTTCAAAGACCAGGAACAGCTGTTGAGCTCAGTTATGCTTCTTTACACCAGCTGAGGATCTACACTGGGCAACTTTAAATATTGAATCTCAGTGCTTTTCAGATATTAAATGGGCAAAAGGAGAAAAGAGATTTGTATTTGATGTTACAGTGGAACAGCTAATGTGCCTGGCTTTAAATGAATTACAATCCAAGAACTGCAAGCTGTAGCATTTTCTCCTGCTGTTTTGGACAGGCTCCCATCCCTGTGGTGATTGATGCTGTGCTGGAAAACAAGTATGCAAGGAATTTGTTTGGTATGCTCCAGAGTTCATATGTCTTCATTGTAGGTAGCCCATATTGTGTCACGCCGTCCTTGAAAACCCTGCAAAAGAGCTTACAATTAAATTTAAGACTGTGAAGCTGAAACACAACTGTCAGGTGCCAGATGGCAGTTTGGAACAGAAGGATTTATTCTAGTTTACAGACAACAAAAGAGAAACCTTGCTGTGTTCTTGCAAACTCCCTTGCCCAAGGAGGATGTGAGGGTGAAAAGAGAGAGGAACAGCCCACAAAACACCAGTGCTACAGGAGCAGGTCACCTCCCCAGGGTCAGGGCACACCCAGACAGGCTGATGGATTGGCAATTCTGCTTGATATGCTCTGGGGTCAGGGCTGTTTTCTGTGTCCTGAGGTCTCGCTTCAGCAGCTCCTTTAGGTGCATGGCCTATGAGAATCACCAAGCCCTCTTTGGCAAGCCTGTGTCCTCCTGAGGTGCTGCAACTGAAGCTCCCACAGCTTCATTTAGTGTCTCTGTCAGCAAAGTGTGCTCAGCTCCTGTTGGAACCAAGCACTCACCATGGAGAAAAAAGTGGGACCTCAAGGAATTCAGCCAGCCAAAGCCCATGGCAGGGGAGTGTGAAGCAGGAGTGTGGTAGGTATGATACTTCACCAATGAGTCCTCCAGGGTTTGCAGTATTCGGTCATGGCCAAAGCACCACAGTGGGTCAGGGCCATGATATGTGATGAGGTTACTTGTGTGTTTATGCTGTTTATATCTGGGAATTGTTCCCATCTGGCAGAGTCTGAGCCCCAGGTAAACTCCAGCCCTTGGAGATTTTTTGCTGTAATGTGAAGAGAAAGTCATTCAGAGACACATGGGAAGAGGAGTAAAAAAGAAAGTGAGTTTTGGAAAATTCTTTAGTACCTTAAAACTTTGCTATGTTCCAGTGACATTTCCTAAGTGATTAAAAAAAAAAAGAGAATCCTTGAGAGAGATGAGGATCATCAAATCAAAGCAATTTAGCACATCGTGACAAGAAAGATTAGCCCTGCCCAATGCTCATCTTGGTTGAAAATGATTTAAATAAAGCTATAAATCTTCTGGAAATTATGCAACATTTTGTGTCAGCTGGAAACTCCTGCCTAGATTTCTGTGTGTAAAATTCAAAAATTAAACTCACATTACTTTGTAAGTGACCCATCTGAGACATTCGTTCCCATACGAAATGCAGGGAGGCAGCTGCTTGCCAGGCAAATGTGTGACTTTGACCTGTTGTCACCACTGCAGCTTCACTGTCCTGGTCCCATCTGTGGCTCCTCTGTAGGGCATCCAGCAGGCTGGGACAGGAGAGCAGCCCATGGACCTGAATTTTGGCCTTTGAGTGGGAGCAAGGAGGGTGGTCCCTGCTGCCTGGCTGGTTAAGAAGTGTTGATGCCACCAAGCTGCTTCATGTGCCATGGTCAGCCAAAGAAGCAGCAGGCTGGGCTTAAATTCAAATATCTGAGCTGCTGGGATGGTTAACCCCACTCCACAGCTGCAAAAGGATTACAGTGAGGTTTGCAAGATTAATGCCTTCTGTGTGCTCCTCGTGTCCCAGGGAGGAAAAGACTTTCTGACTTGTCCTAGGACAAGAGCTTCAAACCTCCTGCTTGTGTCGAGCAGATTGCAGCCACAGCAGCCTCTCCAGGACTGACCAGCTTTCCATGGCTTTCAATGGGTCTTTCACTGGAAGCCTGCAGAGAGAAGGAATGTCTTGCATTGGCCCAGGAGAGAAAACTGAAGTTTAAAAACAGAGGAAAAAAAGCCAAACCAACAAACAAAATAGAGAAAAGGCATTTGGACCAACAAATCTTACAGGGTGTGCCCAGAGTTCCTTTTTTAATACTTGTAACTACACCTCTTGGTCTAATGTGTGGTATAAGCCTCCCTGCAAATTGTGACTTGATATGGGCCGTCGTGGCTCTGGCTGCCCTCGTATTCCACTTCTTGCCCAGGTAGTTGCAGTGGCAGAGCAGGGACATGACACTGCTGCTCTTCCCACCCACTAAGAGCCCTGAGAACAGCTCACTTGGAAGTGCAGGTTGCTGCTTCAATGTGAGCTTGTCTCAGCTGTGGGCTTTAGTGTTCACATCAGGTTTATAAAACAACTGAGACAGAAGGTCCTCCCACCCCTCCCCATGTCCCAGAAAAGGAGCCGCTCCCATGTCCCATGTGTTCCCATGGCCATAAATGTGTTGTACCCTATGGCCCCAACCCTGCCTGCCAGCACCCACCTGATCTTCCACTGCTAAACATATAATTGCTGTCTGGGATTGACTGTATCCAGAGAGGGTTATCTTGGCTTTTTTTTTAGATTTTGTTCTTTTTTAATTGACTTTATTACCCTTCCCTGTCCGAGGGCTGCCATTCTGGACACAGCTCATCATTACTGCATGTCAATCAAGTGAGCATAGCAAATAGCAAGGGGCTTCTTCAATGGCTTCTAAAAGGCTATTCTGGTAGAGACAGGGATGGAACAGGTGAAAGAAAGAGAGAACAAAAGAAAGAGAGAACGAGAAAACAAGAGAACAAGAGAGAGAAAGAGAAAGACAGAAAGAAAGACAGAAAAAGAAAGAAAAAGAAGAAAGAAAGAAAAAGAAAGAGAGAAAGAAAGAAAGAGAGAAAGAAAGAAAGAGAGAAAGAAAGAAAGAGAGAAAGAAAGAAAGAGAGAAAGAAAGAAAGAGAGAAAGAAAGAAAGAGAGAAAGAAAGAAAGAGAGAAAGAAAGAGAGGGAAGGAAGGAGGGAAGGAAGGAGGGAAGGAAGGAGGGAAGGAAGGAGGGAAGGAAGGAGGGAAGGAAGGAGGGAAGGAAGGAAGGAAGGAAGGAAGGAAGGAAGGAAGGAAGGAAGGAAGGAAGGAAGGAAGGAAGGAAGGAAGGAAGGAAGGAAGGAAGGAAGGAAGGAAGGAAGGAAGGAAGGAAGGAAGGAAGGAAGGAAGGAAGGAAGGAAGGAAGGAAGGAAGGAAGGAAGGAAGGAAGGAAGGAAGGAAGGAAGGAAGGAAGGAAGGAAGGAAGGAAGGAAGGAAGGAAGGAAGGAAGGAAGGAAGGAAGGAAGGAAGGAAGGAAGGAAGGAAGGAAGGAAGGAAGGAAGGAAGGAAGGAAGGAAGGAAGGAAGGAAGGAAGGAAGGAAGGAAGGAAGGAAGGAAGGAAGGAAGGAAGGAAGGAAGGAAGGAAGGAAGGAAGGAAGGAAGGAAGGAAGGAAGGAAGGAAGGAAGGAAGGAAGGAAGGAAGGAAGGAAGGAAGGAAGGAAGGAAGGAAGGAAGGAAGGAAGGAAGGAAGGAAGGAAGAAAGAAAGAAAGAAAGAAAGAAAGGAAGAAAGGAAGAAAGGAAGAAAGAAAGAAAGAAAGAAAGAAAGAAAGAAAGAAAGAAAGAAAGAAAGAAAGAAAGAAAGAAAGAAAGAAAGAAAGAAAGAAAGAAAGAAAGAAAGAAAGAAAGAAAGAAAGAAAGAAAGAAAGAAAGAAAGAAAGAAAGAAAGAAAGAAAGAAAGAAAGAAAGAAAGAAAGAAAGAAAGAAAGAGAAAAGAAAGAGCTTTCTTTTCCAGTGGACACCTGTTCAGAAGGGAGATGAGACAAAATGGAGAGGAGCACCATCACCACCTCAGAACAGGTCTCTCAGCATCTTAGATGGTCCCTCTCAGAAAGGGAGATGACTGGCACACCAGTATGGGACTGAGGGCAATAACCTGCTTGTTCTCTGTCCCACTTCGCAGCTCTCTCGTCTGACATGGTGGACAAGGCACAGAAAAGAACCTGACATTGACCTGAAAAACTACAAGAGTGAAGCAGCACAGATCAATCCAGACAACAGAGAGAGTGACTTGGTTGAAAGTGCAGATTCAGGCACTGCAGAGGAGGCAGGTAGGATGGCTGGCTGTGAACAATATCATGCTCCTGTGCATGTGAGTGCACAGCCAAGATCTCATGCACAGCCCTCTAAAGCTTGTATACCAGTGGTAAGGGTGTGATACATGAAACTGTTGCAGTTCTTGGTCTTCCCAACATACCTTCTAGAGTTTACCTTCATGTCACAATCTTCTGAATGGCTCAAAAGTGGTGCTATTCCTGAAAAAAGCCCAAAACAAAACAATCAACTAACAAGTAAAAACTAAAGCCACCATTCAGTAAAATGTTTTTCCTCCTCTTCCCTAGAACAAGTTACCCATGTGAGCTGCCCCAGTCCCTTCAGACACTTAATGTTGTGCTGGACTCCTCAGGTGGGAGTCAATGGCCCCTTACAAACATCCCTTGTGAGCATGGAGGTTGCTGCTGCTGGTACAGTGCTCCTCACCCCGTAGACACTGCATGGGGTGCCACGACACTGCATCTGTTTGTCTGTCTCACCAAGATGCTCCTGAGGAGCTCCACGGCACTACTGCAGGCATAATCAAAGCAGCAGCTACCTCCTACCACTGTCAAAGTCACAGCAGACTCTGTCATTTCAGCTTTCAGCACATAAAAGTGGCATCCCTTCCTGTTCTGCTCATTGCCAGGAGATAAACCCCTTTGTGTATGTGCTGGAGATGCTTCCTCCTTACCCCTGTGTGGCCTCTGCTGGCCAAACTCACCCAGTGGTGCTGTCAGATACGGAATCAAAACAGCACCATGGTCTGAAGGGACCATGAGAGGCTGGGGGCAGCTGTGAGCACTTTGTGGATGTCTGAGGGTAAACCTACAAGCCCCAGTTTTCTCATTTACATTATGCCACTAGTATCTTTCATCCTCCCTCAGGATAAAAGCCATGGTTAAAACTCAGACCCAAATTGCTTAAATAGCTGTGTGTCCTACCAAGAGCATTTAATAAGATGGAAGGCAAAGAGTCCAATGAATGTAAAGAGAATATTAGCAGGAGATGCTACGTAGGCAAGTTCTTTTCAGAGTGGACACAAGTTTTTCCTGCAAATCCATTAAAAATACCTGCAGCTTTCTGGTTTTGAGTTTAACCTCCCAAGGTTACTGAGCAGAAAGAAGAAAGGCACATACACAAGATATCTTCACTCCATCCTTTTCCTCATCAGTCCAAAGGAAGCTGGTGCCAATTACAGCCAAGCTAAACAGAAGTGAACAACTAAAGAAATATATATATTTTATTTTTTTTTCCCCGATAGAGTAAACTTAGTTTGAAATTTAATGCAGCCATTCAGCATATTTATTATTTCTTATCAATTCCTAGTTCACTTAACTACCTCAGATTTTTTTTTTATAAACAAAAATCTGGGTATTTTGGTAATTAGTAATGATGGGAAAGGAAATGTGAAACACAGCAGTTGACAACTTAATGAGGTTTGGGGGTTTTATTTTGGGTAGCACCTTTTTCAAGGCCTTATGACATTCTGCATTTCAAAAAAAGGTTATATTTGGAAAGAACAGCCAGTGAAATACACACAGCACAGGGCTCACAATTAAAACACACACCTCACCCAGCATGTCACGTGTAATAAGTAAGCCAGAATCTCTCTAAATGGACCATCATGCTGTCAAGAATTTGTGGAAATGGATGGAAGCTGGGTTGAGGAGGAGAAGGAAGATGTCTGGTAATTAACTAATGAACCAAATTAAATCAGGCTGTGCTGTACATGGTCAAGGCACAGCTTTCTATTTTGCCTTCTCTTTCTTTCCCTTCCCATTTCCCATCATTATCATGTATCTCTCATCTCAAGCCCCACTCCAGGTTGGTCAATGCACCTCCAAACTAGCAGAATGAGAGAGGGAGGAGTCCTGGCCAGATGGTAACACCTGTTTTTTTGGTCTGTCTCTCACAGCACCAGAGCTTCCCTGTTGGAAAAAGCTGTACCTGTGGTTCTGTGGTCTGTCCACTGGCCCCGCAGCCTCCCTGTCCCAGGAGGAGAAAGCTGCCCTGGAACGGAGACTCACCAGCATTGAGGAAACGCCCCTGTGGAGGAATGTTTGCAATGTTAATGCTATTCTCCTGCTGACCATTAATGTCTTTCTTTGGGCATATTTCAGCTGAGCTGGGGTCAGGCAGCACATGGCTTCGGTTTCTCTCAAGGGTTCTCATCTTCATGTCTAAGCAAGAAGCATCAGGTGACGGAGACCCTGGTGATGGTCCCCAGAGGTCCCAGCAGCCCTTGGCACGGCTCTTCCCCAGAGGCACTGCTTGCTGGAAATGACTGAGGGGCCTGGTTTCTTTGCAAGATAAGGTGTGACCAAGACTCAAAACTAGTCACACCGGGGAGACCTGGGGTCAATTTTTAAGGTGCAGAGCCAAGCCATGAAGGAGCAAGCCCAGCTACAGCATGGCTGGGCCCTCACTCCCCTCAGCTCAGGGCTGATTTTGTACTGCTGCTCTTGGTGGAAGGACTTTGGGGTTACACTGGTGAGGGGAAGCAGATTTAAGCACTTCCTGTAGTTTTTTTATACACCCAAGATACTGATGGGGTTAGTGTGGGACCACTGGATTAAGTCAGTGGTGACAACCTTGGCTCCCACAGCCACCCCAGGACTTATATTGGACCCCACACCCCAGCTGGCATGGGCAGCGGGGACAGGGGCTTCCCAACCCTCCTGGATCCCCTCTCGTGATATGGGGGTCTTACAACAGCCTGACCTTGTTTGCTCATCAGGCCAGTCCTGCCCCTGAACAGCATTACCAGCAATAAAGGTGCCTTAGTGACAAAATCAGTTCTGCCTCTGGGTTATTGTGGCTGTATCTCCTGCACTGACACACAAAAGCCTCCGTGGGACCGCAGTGACCTGGCAGCGGTAGGAAAAAGAAATATCCCTCCTTGGGCCAAGCCCAAGGCTGGACTTTGCCCTCCTTGGCCAAGTCCAGACCCCTCTGACTCACCTTAGCAAATTCCTGGGGTCAGGAAGAGTTTTTCCAGCCACAGGGGGAAGTGCAGGCAGGAAGGTTTCAGTGCTGACAGGCCCATCTGATGGTGGGTGTGGCGGGATCAGCCTTGGGTTCCTCAGGAGCCTTTCCCAGGGAGCAGGTTGTCATCACCCCAGAGCACTGCACAGCCTCCCTCCTCATGGGCTTGATGAATTGCAATATCCTCACCAGAACCCAGGGCTTGCAGAGCTGCAACCAATATACAAGTCCATTGGCAGCAGATGTTATTAATGATGCCAATACATATTTTCTTATTCATCTTCCATACTTGTGTCTATCTGCAAATGATTATCATTCATTTTCCTGACAAATCTATCAAGATCATTTATTACTGCTCAGCAAAAGGATCGTCTTTTAAACAAAGATTAATAACATTGCATTTTATCTGGCTGGCTGAGCCAAAGGAAATGAAATTAACAATGAGCCCTACAAACATGTCATCACTTTAATTTACCGGAAAATATTTTAAAATGTTATTTAAAGGAATATACACTGTGGTGGGCACAGATTGTTACAAAGGAAAGAAATGAAACCACATATGTTTTAGCAGGGTGGAGAGTAAGTTGGCAAACAGGGCACTGTGTTTGCTCTGGCTCCTTGCTCCTGTTTTCTGGGACAAGGAGGGAGTAGCACCCCCAGCCTTCTTGGTGTGCACAGACAGGCACACGTGAATCACAGGTGAATCCTGGCCCAAGTCACTGTTTCTGAGTTAAAGCAGCTCTTACCTGGGATCACAAGCTTCCTGTGCTCCTACAGAGCTTTACCAGGGTAAAGCTCCTAGAAATCTGTGGGAGGGGATATGGAATGACAGAGTCCCAGTACCCTTCTGTGCTTTTGGCCCCTATGAGGAAAAGCAACAAACTCATTAAATTTATGTGGGTTAGATTCCTTGTTTCTGCATTCTCTTCTTACTTTCCTTTCCCCTCATTTGACTAAAATAATAAACAAGAAATAATACACCAAAGAACACATCAGAGCCCTCTCTGGCTTCTACTTCAATTAGTAATGCAAAAACTAAATATCAGCTTTGGCTTTGACATGCTCTGTTCATGCCCACAAACTTACCTTTTGTGCCTCATTTGATGCAGGTTCCCACTGCTGTGTCTCTGCAGGACTTTCCCCACAGGCCTGGCTCTGTGACATCTCCAGCAGTGGGAATCCCAACACTCCCCTCCACAGCTTTGTGCCTGGAAGGTGTCTCCCCCCAGTACTGCAGAACACTTACCTGTTTCTTAGCACCCAGTGTTTCCAATACCAGCATGTTGCTCCTTTTCCTTGCTGGGCAGAGAGGAGAAGGTTGCTTAAAACAATTTTGAATTACATAGTCAAGAAGCGTTTCTCCTACAAGATAAGGCCAATTTCTTACCTTTGGTGGATTCATCTTTTCTTATCTTGCCCAGATACTGGGTTGGGAACAGTGCTTTAAAACCCAGATAAAAGAAAATAACCCAGCTAACCTCAAGATTTAAAGGTAATGAATGAGTTAATAAAAGAAGCAAGTTGCCCTCCCCCCCCATTGAAGCTGGAGCTGTATCTCCAGTTACTTTGAGGACACTCTGGAGTTTGGTAAGTGGTGAGAGCTCAGGCTGCAAAACATCCAGGCCACACACTGCAGTAGGACCAGACTCTGAGCATCTAAATAGTTTAATCTACTGTGACTGAGCATTTATGGGTAGGATTTGGGCTCTTTGACTGAGCAATAACCACAATGTGTACGGCAGAACATCCCTGCCTATTTCTTTATCAAACTGCCAGCTTAGCCATGTTTCTTTTAGCATACTAGTAAATCCTGGCATAAAGGCTGCAAGCTAAGGTTAAAGCAGTTTCTGGTTAAGGTGCTCTGGAAGCTAAGTACTCATTACATTAGGAAAAAAATAAAATAAAATGAGCTATACCTTATTTCTAGTGTGACTGCATCTTGCTCCAGCTTTCAGCTGCTGGATTTCATCAAGCCTCTTCCATTGCATTAAGCAGTTGTCTGTTATGAGCTTACACCACACAAATAAAAATCATCAGCAGTGCACACAGACAAATGAGGCTTTATAATCATGTAAAGGCAAAGAAAGGGGATAAAGCCAAAAGGAAGCAGCAAAGGACACAATGTAGCAGATGCAAAAACCAAAATCCCATTTCACAGACCTGTGTGTATATTTAAGGGGGTACATTTATCTTCCCCATTTCATAATGTGGAAGGTGTCATCCAACCTTGGTGATTCCCCAAAGCCAAGTATGAACAGGTTTTAGTTTGTGTGCCTTGAGCTGTAAGGGCACTGTGCAGGGAAGGCAACACTGGGAGCAATAAATGAAAGTGGTGTGTTTTGGTTTGGTTTTTAGCCTAGGTAAAAGTGTTGGTGTCACAACAAGTTGAGATGTTTGTACAACCTTCTCTGAAGCAGGGGAACAACTGAAGAAGCCAACAGCCAAGCTGCTGCCCCAACACAGTGCTGCTGCAATGGTGAGGAAGGCACCATCAGGCTGGAAAAGGTTGCAAGGAAACATCACTGCCTGTTCTTCAGAGAAGTGAAAGGTGCTGACAAGATCCTCCTCACCCAAATGTAGCCTTCTCCCCCGTGGAGGACACTTCTCAAGGAGGAATCTTTACTGCTGTTGCCCATCATTGCCCCATATTCCACTCCTCACAACACTGCCTTTTCCTAAGTGTACCCTGACCCTCAGAGGCACCCATTTTCTCTACCTTTCTGTGACCTGCTGAGTCTTGAAACTCTTACAGGAGGGAAGCAGGACGCTTCTGCTCCAGCACAGCCCCTCAGCCCAAGAACTAGGCACTCTTCAGAACCTGTTACAGGTTTCAAGTCCTTCAGCAGGTGCGGGTAAGTCTGTGAACATCCAATGGCTCTTTAATTTCTGACCTGAGATCCCAATACCCAAAGCCTCCTCCATGCCTCCCCTCCCTTTGTCTCAGATACAATTTCCAGCACCTCTGTGTATTCATCTCCATCACAGTACACAGGGGATGTCATTTAAGCATGTGCCATCTGGCCAAAGGCTGGCACCAAGGTAGCCCTCTGCCATTCAAGCACGGCCCAAGATTTCATAAGCAAGAACTGAAATATCATGCAGTGCAATATTATAGATAAGCTGTCCAAACAAGACCAGATGGCACCACCATGCCAAGGACAACAAACAGGGATATTAAGTTGTCAGAGTAGGTACCAAAGTCAGCCTGAGCTGCTGAGTTCATGCACGATTCCCAAGAACGAGAAACAAACTTTCCCAAAGGACACAGCAGAGGTGCTCCTGGAGAGGACACTTGAAGTACAAGCTGTGAGCCACAGGATGTCCCCCCTGAGGAGTGCCAGGGCCACACAAGGGGACTTAAGTGCATAACAGTACACACATATGCACAACATAAAAGCAACTGCTCTTGCAACACTCAGATACTGGTTTCTCTACCACACTACTGTGGGGTTGGGTTGACAGGACCCTGGGCTCAGTACTGGGATGGAGATCATCAGGGACAGTTCCTTGGCCCACCTTCTGATTTAGACTAACAAACCAGGCTGTACTTCTGAATGTTTGTGTGAGGGGGTAGAAGGACCAGGGTAACCATTTTAAGATACCCAGAGCTTCTGCTGCATTTGTTCAAAACCAAAATGCTGTTAAAAACATTCAGCTGTGACCTGTTCCTGTAGCTTCCAGAAAAGAAGCATTCAATTTAATATGTGAGACTCATAACCAACTCACACAGTGCAATAGTTCACATCAGTTTGAAGAAAAAAAAAATTCTGCTGGAAGCACAGGCAAGTAGCAGTGTCAATTTTTCATTAACCTACAGCCACTGTCTCTGTAGACTTACAGCTATAAGTAAGATTACTGTTATAATTTCTTGTGGTCCCTAAGGGGAGGGGAAAAAAAACACCAAACCTTCTCAAAACTTTTAAAGTCATTAAAAAACCCTCCACCTTTAAATTGGAGGCAGTTTCAGTTTACTTTCATATTTCAAAATTAAATCTCAGCTTCAGCCTCACATCAAAGCAGAAATGTCAGTTGCTTTGTTTCTACATCTTCCATGAAAGAAGTTTCACCAAATTATACATGAGCTGAATGCCAAGTAAATAGATTTTCCTAGGGAATAAAGGCAGCTTTTTTTTGTTTGT